CGGTGCACTTTCCCCCCACTTTCGATCTGAAAGGATGGGAGTTTCTCCAGCAAAAATTTTTCACTTGTGCTCATTGGAACGTGATATATTTTAGTAAGAAATCTCGCTCTAGGATGCACCGTTCAATCGTCTTTGGCGCGTAGTTGCAGTAACAGTTGAAACTCTGTCTTCCTTTGCTACGTCTTGGCAGCTTCTAACTTTGTGTGTGGTTCCTGAGGTAACGGCTCCCCTCCTCTTCCATCGGCAAATACGAAACCCTCGTTGTTCTGTGCGCGACGGGCGGTCGACCCTGGTTCGGGTCCAGCCTAGCCGAAAGATTTGTCGCAGCATTCTTGAAAAGTTACATGGTGAACTAGTATGCCCAAAAACAGTAGTTTACAATAGAGTCAAAATCAGAAAGATAGTTCTTTCTCAGAACGAGCTATTGATAAAAAAAATTCTCTGTAAAGTTCTAGAATGGCTTGAGGTATCGATTCTGAATAACATTCAGCAATTGTTAATGGTAGCTCTACAATGGACGACGTACCGCCTACGCAATTCAGGCATGGCACAACGAGTAAGCTAAAAAAGGTCCTTCTCGCACTCACCTTTTTTATGGAGGGGAAATTTTGCTTTCAATGTTATTAGGACGGACTACGGATGTCAGTTTTGAACAATATTCAACAGTTACTGATGGTAGCACCACAACTGATCCTGTATCGTCAAAGCAATCAACAAGTGAGCCAAAAACAATGCTTCCTTCTTACACTTTCTGTTGCTAATGGAAAATTCACCTCCATGAAATTTGATGACTGCAGAAGCTAGTCCTGAGCCACGTTCAACAGCTACAATTGGCAGTTCCTCAATTGATTCCGTACGGTCAACGCAATTAACGAGTGAGCCGAGAAGAACGCCTCTTCTTGAGACTTTTCTTTGCTGATGGGATTCGCTTTTCACGAAATTTGAAGTTTTGTTTTTTGAAGTTTGCTTTCGCAGATGCCAGTTCTGAGCCACGTTCAGCCGTTACGAATGGCAGTTCCACAACTGATCCTGTACCGTCAACGCAACTAAGAAGTAAACCAGGCATAATGCCTCTTTCTAACACTTTTCTTTATTTAGTGGTAAAATTAGCTCCCCTCCCCCGATATTTGTTGTTTGTTTTTTGAAGTTTGAATTTGCAGATGGTTCATGAGCCACGTTCAACGGTTTCGAATGGCAGTTCCACAACTGATCCTGTACCGCCAACGCAATAAGAAGTAAGCCAGGAATAATACCTCTTCCCAACACTTTTCTTTGTTAATGGGAAATTCGCCCTTCTATGAAATTTGACGATTGTAGATGCCAGTCCTGAGCCACGTTCAACGGTTTCGAGTGGCAGTTCCACAACTGATCCTGTACGGTCAACGCAATTAACAAGTAAGCCAGGCATAATGCCTCTTTCTAACACTTTTCTTTGTTAATGGGAAATTCGCCTTCAACGAAATTTTGACGGATAGTGTAGATGCCAGTCCTGAGCCACGTTCAAGGTTTCGAGCGGCAGGCCAGTTCCACAACTGATCCTGTACGGTCAACGCAATTAACAAGTAAGCCAGGCATAATGCCTCTTTCTAACACTTTTCTTTGTTAATGGGAAATTTGCCTTCTATGAAATTTGTTTTTTGTTTTTGAAGTTTGAATTTGCAGATGTCAGTCCTCAGCCACGTTCAACGGTTTCGAGTGGCAGTTCCACAACTGATCCTGTACGGTCAACGCAATTAACAAGTAAGCCAGGCATAATGCCTCTTTCTAACACTTTTCTTTGTTAATGGGAAATTCGCCTTCTATGAAATTTGTTACGATGGTAGATGCCAGTCCTGAGCCACGTTCAACGGTTTTATTGAAGTGGCGAGGATTTCCACAAACAACTGATCCTGTACGGTCAACGCAATTAACAAGTAAGCCAGGCATAATGCCTCTTTCTAACACTTTTCTTTGTTAATGGGAAATTCGCCTTCAATGAAATTTGACGATGGTAGATGCCAGTCCTGAGCCACGTTCAACGGTTTCGAGCGGCAGTTCCACAACTGATCCTGTACGGTCAACGCAATTAACAAGTAAGCCAGGCATAATGCCTCTTTCTAACACTTCTCTTTGTTAATGGGAAATTCGCCTTCTATGAAATTTGTTTTTTTTTTTGAAGTTTGAATTTGCAGATGTCAGTCCTGAGCCACGTTCAACGGTTTCGAGTGGCAGTTCCACAACTGATCCTGTACGGTCAACGCAATTAACAAGTAAGCCAGTCATAATGCCTCTTTCTAACACTTTTCTTTGTTAATGGGAAATTCGCCTTCTATGAAATTTGAAGTTTGTTTTTTGATGTTTGAATTTGCAGATGCCAGTCCTGAGCCACGTTCAACGGTTTCACGAGTGGCAGTTCCACAACTGATCCTGTACGGTCAACGCAATTAACAAGTAAGCCAGGAATAATACCTCTTCCCAACACTTTCTCTTGTTAATGGGAAATTCGCCTTCCATGAAATTTGACGATTTTGTAGATGCCAGTCCTGAGCCACGTTCAACAGTTACGAATGGCAGTTCCACAACTGTTCCTCTACGGTCAACGCAATTAACGAGTAAGCCAAGGAGAATGCTTCTTCATAAGACTATTCTTTGCTCCACGAAATTTAAGTTTACAGCGACTGTGGAGGTGTAGATATGTAAATTCTGCTGTATCCTCAGATTAGAGTCCCACGCGGTCCAAGTTCGGATCTACGAGTCACCACAAATTCGTTGAAATCTTCCACACGAACGCTTGGAAGTTTTATTTGGACATGACACAAATGTGGAAGTGTTCAAATGTAGCACCAATGGGGAGCTAAAGCGAGGAGGTAACAAGGAACCAGAGCTAGAAGTGAGAAGCAAGAGGAAGAAGAAGAAGCCCCTACTGTTTGCGCAGGGGGTATTTATACTGAGCACCAACAAAGAAGTGTTTTGTACAAGACACCCAAAAAAGTTGTTGATGGCTTAATCTTTTCAAGAAGGGTAAGTGACCTATTGGTGAGCCATGAGAAACAGTCATGAGGAAGAGAAGTGCAGTTCATGGAAATACAGATAAAGAGAACTGTAGACAAAAACAACAGAAAAAGTTGTGAGGAATCTTCCTCAAAAACGATTGGTCAAGGAGTAGCCATAATCATAATCACTTATAAGCACCCACCTGCTAGGAAACCAATGGATGCATTCCTCCCAGAATGAATGGAGCTGTGTAATGAAAAGTTCGAAGAGATCGGTTTGGGCTTTAGCACGATCTCCAAATATTAGCGCAGTGGTGCAGTTGTACTGACTGTTTTCTCTCAAGCTGCTTCAGGAGATGATGGGGGATGATGAAAAGCCGCCGTATGGAGCAATGTCAGGGTTATACGACAGATGTGATGCCGTCGTGTCAGCCAGTTTCCTTCGAAACGTGGCGAGTTATCTTTGCAATGTGATTTCGGGCGGTCCTTCGAAGAAAGGAGATTTTGAGACGTTTCGAACCGTTCTTCTGCGCTGCTGTAACCAACTTCGGAAGCAATTCCAAGATCACCTTTGCAATGCTTGTCTGCGTAAAGAGAAATGGTTTCCAAAACAGAATGCTTTCAACGAACCGGCGGTAATATTTTCTGATGAGAGAGCTTATGCTTTGGTCGAGATGGTGAGTCCAGGCTGCGAGGGAGCCACAAGGCGCGACGTGTGTTGTTACCGTGGTGGACTCACGACTCATCTGCACTAGTGACCAAGTAGGAAATTTCGTGTCTATATGGTTGAAGAATGAAACTTCCGCAGATGGTCAAGCGTGCCTCTCGGCCAGTCAGTCGATGCCTGCTGTTTCCATCGAGTCTCCATTCTGCTACAGCCCCTTTCGTTCAGGTGTCGACTCATGGAGCGTAGGCTGCGTCAGGTGTTATGTCTACAGTTTCCTGCTAATAGCGTCAGCATGCACTTCCTATTCGTTGCGCAAGGCGTTCTCATCCAAAGTGACTGGAGGTCTATGATGAAGTCGAACTTTGCAGCTCCTATCTTATTTTGCCGATGCTATTGAGCCAATAGCTCAGTGCTCGATCAGTAGCAAAAAGGCTAGGGCAAACGTAGCGCTGACCTTGCCTACCATGCTCCTCTCAACGTTCTTCTTCAAATTTTCGTTAGGCATAATGGCTGGCTTTGAGTTGATCTCTTTTGATTCCTAATTAATTATCTCGATCGCATTTGAGCTTCTGAAACATCCTGGTTGAAGGTCCTGATGTGTTCCTTCAACATATCAACTTATTTCGATATGAAGTTAATTTGACATATTGAAAATTGAATTTGAACCAAAATCGGCCAGAAATTATGGATCAACCCAACATATAAGAAGTTAAATTCCACTTGCATTGACGGCAAGTGAAACGAGTGGTGAGGGTATGTTTATAAAAAAGCGCAGCCTCTTGAAGGGCTTACAGATAAAGAGGTCTGCGCACAAAGAGTCTCGCGTATCGATTGAAGTGAATTCAACAGACTTGTAAGCTAAGACTAAAATTTGGTGAATAACGACGTAAAGTCGTTATTAAAGTTTGCTCTTTTTGAAGTTTGAATTTGCAGAGATGCCAGTCTTGCGCCACGTTCAACGGTTTCGAGCGGCAATTCCACAACTGATCCTGAACCGTCAACGCAATTAACAAGTAAGCCAGGCATGATGCTTTTTTCTCAGACTTTTGTTCATTAGTCGTAAAATCGCCTTCCACGAAATTTGATGTGTTTTATTAGCAAAGTTATGAAATTGCAGAATGCCAGCCCTGTACGCTTACGCTTCTACAGATTATTGAACAAAAGTGCTCAGAATCATCCACAACTGATCCTGAACCGTCAACGCAATTAACAAGTAAGCCAGGCATAATGCTTCTTCCTGAGACTTTTCTTTGCTAATTGGATTCGCTTTCTATGAAATTTGATGAGTGCAGATGCCAGTGCTGTGCCGCGTTCAACGGTTTCGAGTGGCAGTTCCACAACTGATCCTGTACGGTCAACGCAATTAACGAGTAAGCCGAGACGAATGCTTCTTCTTAAGACTTTTCTTTGCTAATTGGATTCGCTTTCCACGAAATTTGAAGTTTGTTTTTTGAAGTTTGAATTTGCAGATGCCAGTCCTGAGCCACGTTCAACAGTTACGAATGGCAGTTCCACAACTGATCCTGTACCGGTCAACGCAATTAACAAGTAAGCCAGGCATAATGCCTCTTCCTGAGACTTTTCTTTGCTAATTGGATTCGCTTTCTATGAAATTTGATGATGCAGATGCCAGTGCTGTGCCGCGTTCAACGGTTTCGAGTGGCAGTTCCACAACTGATCCTGTACGGTCAACGCAATTAACGAGTAAGCCGAGAAGAATGCTTCTTCTTAAGACTTTTCTTTGCTAATTGGATTCGCTTTCCACGAAATTTGAAGTTTGTCTTTTTGAAGTTTGAATTTGCAGATGCCAGTCCTGAGCCACGTTCAACAGCTTTCGATTGGCAGTTCCACAACTGATCCTGTACCGTCAACGCAACTAACAAGTAAGCCAGGCATAATGCTTCTTCCTGAGACTTTTCTTTAGGTTTAGGTTTAGGTTTAGGTTTATTACGTGTGCAAAAGGCACATGTGGGAAAAACACTGGTACAACTACGAATAAAATAAAAAGATCCAAACATAACTTCCAACTAGCAGAACAAACAAGATAAAGAAATCAGTCAAGATATTGTCAAATCTGACAGTAACAGATGGAGAGGCGGTTTAATTCAGCAGTCAGTCTCCGAAAACGCTAATACTCTACATCGTATCTTAGCAGCATATTTGCCACCCGATGTCTGAATTGAGCCAGTGATATGTTTAGAGGTAACTTTTTTGCCAACTTCAAATAATGACTGCCAGCTCTGAACGTGAAATTTTTGGCACGCAAAGCAGTCTTAGGTTGAGTGAGCAAAATCTTACTGGATCCTCCTCTTGTTCTCGAGGGCATTATATTGAAAACATTACAGAAACATGACCCAGGTAGAGACTGTACCATCTTGTGGACTAAACAAAGATCAAAGATTTTACGCCTAGATTGAAGAGTTGATAGCCCCAGATACCTGTTCCTAGTCGCCGCATTTGGTACATTGCCATAAGGGAAACCACCAAGTCGAAGAAGTAACTTACGAGTGAAATTATTCTGAACCTTCTCCAGCGCAAATATATGCTTTCCTTTTGAGGGATTGAAAACGGTAGAACTAGATTCTACCAGAGGACGCACATATGATTTATAAGCACGAAGTAAAGCTCCTTTGTTTCCGGTGGATAACCCCTTGAAGATTTGAAAAGTGCGGGTATGGGCCATTCTCGTCTTATTGGCTATGTGCTCAGAAAAATCCAACTTGTTATTATAGCTAAAACCCAGGTCTTTTACCGATTCCGCAGCGGTGAGAGTGATTCCATCAACAGTATACGAGTGCCCTGACGGAGACGTTCCAGATACCAGTTGCATGTAAACCGTTTTTTGTGGAGCTAGGGGCAATTGCCACTCTTTGGACCATTTCACCGTTAAGTTGATCGCTTCTTGTAAAACTTGGGGGTCATCCGGACCAAAAATTGGTTTGTATATTTTCAGGTCATCTGCGTACACCTTTGTACTGACTCCTACTTCCCGCAGAATGCTGGGATTTCGGCCGTAAAATGTTGAAAAGGACAGGCGATAGTACGCCTCCTTGCGGACTCCACTCCTTACGTATCTCGGGCTGGAAAATGACTGATCAATCTTTACCTGGAACGTTCTCCAACTAGATAATTCCTGATCCATTTGACTACGACAGGGTGAAACTTAAGCGACTCCAACTTATGGATCAATTTTTTGTGAGACACTCTATCGAATGCTTTTGCGAAGTCAAAATAAATGACGTCGCAGCGCCCCTTCTTGTCGAGAGTTTCCGTCCAGTCATCCAGACATTCAACTAAATTAGTTTCAACGGAACGTCCCGGAACGAATCCATGTTGATCATTAGAAATTACCTTATTGAGTGACAAGTGATTGATGATATGGTCCTTCAAGACTTTCTCAAAGAGCCTACAAAACAACGAAGTGATGCTCACAGGTCGGTAATTCACGGGGTTCCACGAAGGTTCCTTCTTAAGTATAGGTGTAACAAGGAGTGCTTCCAACGCAGAGGGACCTCTCCAGACACTAAAGACTGATTGAAGATATACGCGAGAGCCCCACATATGACTGGAGAAATTCTACGCACGATGAAAGAACGGTATAAAATCCGGCGTAACCGAGGGTGAGCCAGGCCACTTATCAATTAAGTCATTGCAAAACAGAGGCTGTAAACCAAGGGAAATCTTTCATGGGTTCCACGGCATGATAGAAAGCACTAGGAATGTTCCCGTCATCTTCCTGAAAATGCTTTCGAATTGATCAGCTAACATGTCTGCTTTTTCTGTTGGGAAGATAGCTACGTTGTTTCCATTCCTCAAACAACCGACGCGTTTAGTATCTTGCAACTTCTTACTTAGATACCTGTAAAAACTGCGAGCGTTACCGGAACCAATGACTTTCTTTTCCAGATAGTCATTGTACTTTTTAAGATGCGCATGATACTTTAGTGAGAAAGACTTATACCTATCCCAATTGCTTAAACGTAGGGCCTCAGCGAATAAACATTCGCGATGCTCCCACATGTTTTGCAAATGTGGGGGTAGATGCACAGACTTAACACGAGGGACTCTGACCCAAGGGACGTTAAGTTCAAGCGCGCTATGCAAGACAGATAGAAATAACTCATATTTCTCATTCACACTGTTCTTGGATTCTAGCAATGGGACCCAGCGAACTTGGGCTAGACTACTACACAGGGCGCTTAAATTGTATTCCGAATATATCCGCTTGAATTTGTACTTAGGCTGAGACAGCTTACACCAAACTTCAAAAGTGATGCTATTGTGATCACTTAAACCTACTGGAGTAGAAACGGATAGGTTTTTTATGAGAGCAGGAGTGCTTGAGAATACTAAATCAAGAATGTTGCTACCTCTGGTGGGTACCCCAACATGCTGTGTGAGGTTGTGGCACTGGACTAAATCGTTGAGACAAGATATTGCAAAGAGGCTGGAAGGGACCCCGTTTTGACAACCAAATTCAGGCAAATTGAAATCGCCCACGACTATACAGTGTTTGTCGCACGATAGTAGATCGCTAAGGGCTTTAACGAGAAGCTCAAAATTGTCATTTGAACAAGAGGGAGCTTTGTAAACGACAATTACTCTTAACGCTGGCTCCTTCGCAATATAAATCCGCGCAGAGTACTTCAAAAGAATCCTCAATCGTATCAACAAAAACTAACGATATAGAGACACTTCGCCTAACAAGGAGTATAACTCCTCCTCCAGTTTTCTTTGGACGATCACATCTGATTGCATCATAATCATCTATAATGTCCCCGAGAATAGAGGATAGGGGTGGCTTGGCTTCAACCAAGTTTCGAGAAAGCAAATACATCAATATTTTTCGACAACAATACCTTCAAGAAGTCAGCGTTTTTGAGACTGACCTTACATTTGCATAAAAAATCTTAGCATACGAACAAACCGGGAACACCTAACAGTTTCCCTCAACATTAGCGGAGGGACTGGCTACATGTCTGGGAGAAGGAAGGGCAGTTGGTATTCCCCCACCATTGACAGTGGGCGGCGTTTTGCCTCCTTCTTCCAACTTGCCCCTCACCTCTCGTCTGCGTTTCCTTTCTTCTGGGGTGAGGGACTCCCTTATGAAGACCCCCTGCCCAGGAAAGTGACGCAGACGAGAGGCTCGTTTCAATGCAAGACGTTGAAAAGCACGTGATGGCATGACAACTTTCAATAATCTGTCCCTACCTACTCGAGGCCCACCAAGTCGATAGACTGTGAGTGGGTTACATTCTACGTTCAAAAAGTCAAGTATGTTACAAACGCTGGCAAAATCGTATGAAATGCGATCCCTAGGGTACGGAGACTTCAACTCTGGTACTCCACTAACTATGATAGAGCGTAGTCTCTCAACTTCTTGATAAGGCATCGCCGTCTGTGTCGACGGTGATCCTATATCAGAGGCCTGAGACAATTGAGAATCCTGTACTTGAGCAATAACATTACATTCAGACGAATCATGAGACAAATTTTTACGAACACTGTTGAGTTCTTGCCTGAGTTCTGTGTTTTCAACATGAAGCGTATGGAGCTCCCGCATTATCGCAGCTATGACTTTTTTAATACCATCCGCCACGCGACTGGATTTCGTTAGAAGCGCAACTTGGTCCTGTAGTTCCTTGGACAGACATACGTTGGTAGTTCCCATCCCATCACAGCCTTGGACGCTTGATCCTTGCGACGTGACACTTCTCAGTTCCATGCGGAATGAAGATCAGTGAACAAATCGAAACAATCAATCAGCAGCCACCACTGCCAGTGCACCGCAACAAAATTTAGAAAGCAATATACCTTAGGAAGTGGCACTTTCAGAGGTTCTAGGTACTCACGTGCCACTATGAGCAACGCACGAATCCTTCGATACAGAAAAAAGACTGAATAGACTGAACCAGCGAATGTGGGAATACCAACAGGAAGAGCTACAGGGCAGGCCGCCGCACACGAGACAGTCCAGCGCGTGAAGACAGGGTTAGGGGCGGATTGGTCGCGGAAACTTCAGGAATTGCTGCAAATAATGGGATGAGGATGGAAAGGGTTAGTTGGAGAAGGAAAGGGAAAGTCTAACCTATACTGACACTTACACTTACGGTTTCATCAAACACAAAA